GACAATGACTACTTCGATCTGGCTCTCAGAACCTCCCAGCAGGCCTCAATCAAGTTCATGCGGCCCTCTTTCATTTCCATGCTCAGAAAGTTCCTATGGTCCACTGTGTTCTTGAAAACAACTAAAGCATGAGCAAACATAGGATCAGACTCGGGCAAACCATCTTGTTTCAAATTCTACTTCACTTTGGCCATCTCCTCGTCATGCTTGCTTGACCCGACCTTCTGCTGCGTATGGTTTTTAATGATCTGGGTCAGGTCGTTAAGGCACTCATCAATGGAACCACTCTTCTTACTAGGAGGGCTGTTGACAGAATGTTCTCTAGTGGTTCTCTTGGAGGACTGGCCGACATTGTGTGTACCTATGGGCTCCTAGGACATGTGTTGAGTTTCATTGCTAGGAGTACTCAGTGTCATCTTGCGATGATGTCCGCCAGAAGCGAGCAACATGCCCCTTTCATGAGGGGGTGTCCCCAAAGAGTGACCAGTAGGTCAAGGCATTTGGGAACTTTGGTCCGCTGCGCAGCCGATTGGCTATTTTCCTGCATGTTTGCCATGGGTCCACATGTTAGGACGAATAGAATGGGACTATCCCTAATAATTGGTAGTCAGCGGGTTAGAAAGAAATAGGTGGAAGTTAGTACCCCATTGCCACCCTAAAAAAATGAGGGGTCAACTGCGACGCCTCCTGTATTCGGGTCATGCTCTAGGCCAGTGTGGGTTTGAAGGTCTCGCCAAGCGAAATATGTCCGCTTCAGGTCGTTCAACTTGTTCTGCAGCTGTTTCTTGTCATAACCCAACATCGTTTCCTTTTCGAATGCTGGATACAGATTTGACCACCCGACGGTTGTGAGGCCTTGTTAGTTCCAGTGCAAGAGGTTTTTCTGTTCTATGACTAATTCCAGAAAGGTCCTCAAGGTGGCTTCATCCTAGTTAGCACGATCAGTGGACATCTGTTGCCATGTGGAAAATGTATGGTATGATGTATGCAACATACAAGAAAAAGTGCAGCACTTGTAAGAGTAACAAACAGGGGAGTTAGGGCGTAAGAGATGGGGATGTGCCTTGCCAGAAGTCTTCGCGCGTTTCAATTAGTGGATGTAGTGCCTGCCTTTAGAAGAGGAGCAGGACGAAGTGGACGATGCTGCCAGTGTGGTGGTTCCGGCGAGAAGACAGGTGATTCCGGTGAACTGAGAGGTGGATCCGTTGGCGGCGGTCGGGCTCACCTACAATAGGAGCACGTGGGGGTCAGATCCAGAGGGGGGAGGAGGGGAGGACGACGGCGGCGTCAGAACAGGTGGGGAGGGAGGGAGGTCAACTTGGATCCGGGGGGTACCTTATTGCCGGTGGACGGGCGCCGACGTCGCTGGGTTGAAGGGGGGGATGCGGCACTCTAGTTCGACAAACGTGAGGCTTTCGACGGCGCCAGGGCAAGCATGGAGAAGCGAAGCTCACGCCCATGGCGGCCCGTGCGGCGGAAACCCTAGACATAGGGGGCACGGGGGATGGAGTGAGGGAGGGAGGAGAACGCGGCCGGGAGCTTGGCTTTTATGTCCAGCCGTTCGGCTGGACTTGGGTCGCCGAACGGCTGGGCTGATCAGCCAAGCCAAAAGCAGCCCAGCTAGCCATTTTAGCCCAGCCGAACGAGGCCGTAGTTCGTACGTTCCTGGTAGGCAGCATCTTTTCCCAATGGCAGATGAGTAGAAAACAAACATGAGGCATGAGTCAGAGAGACAAAGGGAAGATGCAGGGAGGCTCACCGACGATTGGACAACGGTAGGGGAGGCAGATGGACCTTGAGGTCGGTTGGGTCTTCACGTGTGATGGCACTCTCTGGCTATGGCGGACGACGTGATCTCATTGGGACCATGTTCTCCATGTCACGTTGATACTCCTAGTGGCGTTGGCTTCCATCGGCAGCGTCATGGTGCGGCGAAACTTTCTGGCCGTGAAGTGTGCGGCGGCGCGTTGTTGCTTGCAGGTTGTGATGTCGTAGCTATGCGCACACGGCATGGCAGCCGGCCATGCCGGTCGCGCGTGGTGTGCGAGTGGGTACGTGCCCATGGAGTACTTGTCACGTCGGGCAAAAGCAGGGCCAGCGCGCCGTGGCAGCCTCCTCGACGAGCCCGCTCCAACCGGAGCGCAAGTGGTACTCGACTGTGAATGTTTCAGTACCCATATGGGAAGGCCTTGTGGAAGCCATGGAGAGTTTGTTCATGTCGACGAGGTGGAATGGTATGCCGACCGGCGTCACAGAGGTGTGTTTAGTGCTAGTGCTGCATGTTTGCACCTTCAACGATCAAAGAAACTTAGTTGTGGACTTCTATAATACGCACCTTCGACTTAGAGGAAGGAGAGAAAAAAAACCATATTCATCCTGTTCGTTGCAACGGGTTATTATCTGTTTGTAATTTCTAAGTTTGCATCCGCTTGTTCATAGTTGTCTCACTATTGAGCTTTAACATCCATTGGTTTGCTCGACTATCTATAGACACATTGCTTAGCGTCTTTAATTTGTTGACGCCAGCTAGGTCTCTATGTCACCCGTCACTGTGCACAAAGTGTGGATTCTGTTCCTGAGAAAAACAATTAGGGCTTGTTTGGCTGGGATGGATTTGTGTGCAGCCAAACAACCTGCGTTATGGTGATCGGCTTGGGTTCTTCATTTTGTTGTTTGATGTTTCATATGGTTTCGGCCTGTACACTGAACAAATCAAGGAAGCCAAACTGATTTTTTTATTTTTTAGTCCTTTTTTGAAAAAATTTCACAAATATGCTCTTGGAGCTAAGATTTCAAAATCTGGACCCTTAGCTCGGCGCTATCATTGCTGGCACCGAGCTCTTAGACTCGAAGCAGACGTGACGATGACTTAGCGCTCGGCGCTAGTAACCCTGACGCTGAGCTCTACTGGCGCCAAGCCTGTCTTATGTATGGGCCCTAATCCTTTCTCTCTTCCTCTCCCTCTCACACCTCCCTCGCCTCGCCCGAGCAGCGCACCGCCGCCGCCGCCCGCGCCCTCTCTCGCCCCTGGCCGCCCGCGCCTGTGCCCGGCCGCCCGCGCCTCGCCATGCCCCGCGCCCATGCCCGACCGCCCACGCCGCGCCGCCACCGCGCCCGCGCCACACCCTCGCCTGGCCTGACGTGCCGCCAGTATTGTTTTGTCGCGTGACGAGACTCAAATTTCGAAAAATCATAACCCTTCAATACGATGTCGAATGAAGATAATTTTTATATGTAAATTGTAGACCTCGATGAGATCTACAACTTTATAATTTTAATTTTTTTCATTTGAGGACAGCAAGATGCTCGAAAAAATAATATAAAATTTCAGCATCATAATAATCGCCTACTAGCGCTTACCGCATTAGAGCACTAATATATTAGTTGTATGCAGTTAAATGAAAATATTTTTTTTATCTCTCAACGAGATCTACAACTTTGTAGTTTTGAGTTTTTTCATTTGAGGACGTTGAGATGCTCAAAAAAATAATATAAAATTTCGGCGCCTCCCGAAAATAGAAAACTGCTTTTGAAACCAGCCGAGGACCAAATTTATCCGGTTTTGATAGTTGGAGGGTATTTTTAACCGGTTTCATAGTTGAAGGTTGAAAATCGAACTTCGACGCGAGGTGAGAGTTAGAAAGTGCACTTTACCCTAGTATAATCACCTTAATGTGACTGATCATGTGTCGGAGCATTTGGATGTAGGGTGACATGACCTTCGCGCCTGAGGCCCTGAAGCCTGAACTGCTCGTGGGTCTCCTGCGGCCCATCTCCACCGGCGCGGGAGCAACGTCACGTCACCATGGATGCAAGTACCTCATCGCGGATGACAGGAGGGGTGAGTCGGCGAGACAACCGTCATGTTCGCTTGTTGGTTTCAGTCAGCCCAAACCATTCAGCCAATAGTGCTTTTTTCTCATAAAAAATCAGCACTAGCCAACGCAAACCAACACCAGCACCAACCAACGAACAAACCCAAAAAAAACACACATAATTGCACGTATATATATGGAATATATAGTAGATAGAAAATGTGACGCTTAGAAAAATCACGTACACAAAGGGAACAAGGGTTTCCATCTGACGGAGGAAAACAGAAAGAACAAAAAAGGAACCAGAAAAGAATACTAGGACGGAAACGTATTCCACGGAAAAAAAAAAGGTTTCACAATGACTGAAGCCGATATACTTTAGGATTATTAGGTTGGACGAAAATTTAGGGTGACAAATTTTTTATCTCTTTAATATTAGGTATAGATATAGATATATATAGATTGAAATTATGAACTGAGATAAAGAAGCAACACGAATAGCACAGGAAGAACAGAGAAAAAACAAGGGCAACAAGGTCATTTTACGTGAGCCGTCCACAAGTTACCACCAATATGCCAGCTCCGTGCAAATATAATTAAAAATTATGACTTGTTATCTTTTCAGCTACAAAAACTTTCACGAAGATTCGTTTGTGAAGAGTTGTCATCCGAAAAGATGCAACAAGATCCGTTTAGATGAGTTAAAACTAGTTAGTAGTTAAAGTTAAAAATTATACTAAATCACTTGGAGTTTGTTGCCTTATAACAAGTCGAAGACTTTAAAGTCCTCTTAAAAACTTAGTCCGCCTATTCGGATGTGTTAGAAGTATGTCGGCTAATTCTTTGATAACCTTTTTTTAAGTAATAAATAGTATTTGCAAGAGTTTTTCTTATATCATTCTCTAGATCATCGTATAAAGAGTCATTTCTCAATATATTTTCATCCTCCAATAGTTTGAGTTTCTTCATAACCAGCGAAAAATCCAAAATAAAAATTAATCATATTTGGTGATCTAATTAAAAAGTTGTTGGATTTTTTATTCCTTATAAATCAATGTAAAGTGAATTTGCTTTACTTAATATCCCTCGTTCAACTCGGCAACTCCGACCTTGGGGAGGGAGACGGGAGAAGTGGGAAACGGGGAACGGCGAGAACACGCGGATTTCTGCGGGAGAAGAAAAAGCATGCGGTCGGCGGTGCTGGTGCCGCGGAGCCTGCGGAAGGCGTCCGTCCCGCCGGCCCTGCTCTCAGACCCGACGCCCGGCAGCCTCCAGCCCACCCGCCTCGCCGCCCATGTAAGTATGCACGCGAGCGGCCGTCCCTGCCCACCGGCACCGCGCAATCTCAGCACGGGCACCTCGTAAACCCTAAACCCTGCAGCTCGAGTAGTCGAGTTCTTCTGATTTACCTCTTATCATCGGTTTCCCCGCTTGTCAGGTCAACGGTGCCGGCTCCTCATGCTCTGTCTACCTCGCCTCTGGCTGCCGCGTCTACAGGATCGAGGTTTGCGTCCCCTGCTATTGCTCCTCATTTCGTACAACTGAACTATTTTGCAAATCATGCTCTCCTGTAAACAAGCTAGTTAGAGTGTTCGGCAGTGATTTGTAACATCACCCCTTTGGATATAATTTTTTTTTTGACAACAACCCCTTTGGATATCATTGTGGTAGATGTTAGGTCCTCAATGCATTGGGCTTGGAAATTGTGGGTACTGAAATTGTTGTGTGATTGTCCAATTGCCGATTTCCTGTTGATGTTAGAGATTACAGCGGTGAGGGTCTGAGTGAGGTATGTTAGTAGCAGAACGAGAATGTGTAGCCCATTTCACTGTTTTTACAGTGACATTTTTGTGAAGTTGATTTTTCCTCTCTTTCCTTGGATATGAAAGATAAGCCTTGATGGTGCGATGCTGTCCAAAGGAAAGGAGAGCCTTTTGATTCCTGATAATGCACAGGTATGATTCCATCATTCTCAGGTGTTCTGTTTCTCTCCCTCTGTCTTTCAGTTACGCTTATTGAAAAAAACAATTCTCTATGGAAGGTCATAAGTTCGTCCGTTGTGGATCGCTGCCCACATCGTTCTGAGATCCAGAGTGTAGCTCTCGCAGAGGGCGAAGGTGCAGTCTTCAGCATTTAATGATAACATGGTGCAGAATCTTATTTCTCAAGTTAAAATTATAAAATACGGTAGTTGCAATAGTCCTTTGGGAAATGTTATAATATGCGTCCAAGTAGCCACCAAAATCTATGCTGAATGCATCGACATCTTATTGTACTGCTTTTGAGTTCTTATCCACCTTTACCAGCTGAAACTATTATTGATATTAGAGAGCCTGCATGAGTAGCATGCCATACATACATTATATTATAGCTAGAGGAAATGATATTAGATCAGCGTTTGCTTCAATTTTTTCTAGCAAGCATTGCCTACCATATCTAAAGTTTTCTGATGATGTGGTTTGTTGGATCTTCAAAAGGATTTTTGGCTATTTAGCTGGTTTCAATCCTTTTGTGTTTTGTGGCATTCCAGATGACTGTTTGATTCTTGGAACGGTTGACTCATATGGTCACCTTATTGTATCTTGTTTGGACATCGTGGCTGATGGTAACTTCACTATCTTGTCTTAAACATGGTGTGAATAAATATGAAAAATATGTAAACCATTGATTATGTTTTTGCTTCTGCCAATAAGAGAGCTTGTTGTGTAGTAATGGATCCGCTGTTTTAGCCTCTTTTTTCCATTTTGGTCATGGTAGATACCATATGCTCTAATCAAACCTAGTTTCAATGTTGACAAATAAGTTTCAATGTATGTTTTTACCATCGTTTGGAAGTCAAACCTAGTAATTTATCACAAAGTTGATCACATTCTCAAATGGTAATATGATTTTTTCTTTCAAACAAGTACGTGCTAGTTTCGATTTTGAAGGAAGGTACAGCATATCAGTACTAAACTTGCTCAGACATCGACAGGACGTCCTATTCAGTACCACCTCGTGATTGTGGTGTTGGGGAAGGCAGTTGGGCTGGGATATGCTTTAGCCCGATGCAGCAATCCATGGTATATTTGTATTTTTTATTACATATTTACTTCAATTTCCCTTGTTGACTTGTAGTTTGTAAAAACTTGTGATACGTTTTCTAGTGACCTTTGTTTGGTTTAGCATAAGAACCAGCATGTTCACTGAGTACATAAAATTCATGCTATTGATCTTTTCAGGTAGCTGTTGCTCGTGAGTTGTGCAAGACCATTGATATCTATGATCAAGACATTCATGTTCGCAGTTTACGCACGTAAGTTTACTCATGCAAGAATTCTGGCATTGTGCCAACTCGTCCAGCTGCCTTCTTTTTCTATGTCAGATTCTGCTGATAAATGACACCCTTCAGATAAAATAAATGCTAACCCATTACATTGTTGGCTACAGCTAGTGCCTACACTACAGGCTACAACCTACCCAAAATGACTCTAGCTTACTCAATTGTTAACTCTCTTATATGATCTTTGCATGCCCAAACTTTATATTCAGAGGCTGCTGTGAATTCAACACGTAGACCCATGGGTCCTCTAGTAGCATCCATAATCTCACAATTATAGCCTGTAATTTGCATGATTTAGCGGGTAAAACTTAAATTTCAGGTTATGGTATCCATCTTCATTTAGCTTTGTTCAATGCTCGCCACAAGTGAATGGAAGTAGTTCTCTCTTGGCAATTGCGGAAGGTTCTCAGGTTAGACTCTAGCTCAGCCTTTGTTAAATTTGCTTTTTCTGTTGTCTTTCCTCATGGTAAATAGTTGCAGCTGAGCATCTGGGACTTAAGAATGAATAACAATGGGGGATGCGTACAACGCATTTCTGGATCAGTTGGAGACATTATATACTCCACATGTAGTTCGCCCTCAGGACTGATTGGTAGTGGCGGAACTGATCGTGCTGTCACCATCTATGATCCTCGCAGGTTGTTTCGATTGCTTTCGTTGAATTTTTAAGGAATTGATGAGCAGCTGCATATAATCACTCTGTCTGCATTTGTCATCCCAGTATCTTTTGTCCATTTTCCTTATTGTGCCTGATACAGAGAATGGACAGAAAGACTGCAATAGAGCTTCTGGCCAAGGCTGCAAGCTTGCAATAGAGCTTTTGGCCAGTTGTCTGAATCAGTCCGGTTTGATTGATCAGTTTGGTGTCCATTTTTGTATGTAGGTGGTCTGCTCTGTCAAGATGGGTGGGCTGCTCCAAGTATGAGGTTTGATTTAATTCCTTCTGATTTTACTTGATGTATATGTAATGTTGTAATTTATTGCTGGAAGAATCTTGAAGTGCATAAATAGGAACAAGATGTTCATGCAGAAAATCACACGAAGAAGTTTTCAGCAAGTCTATTTGCTCTCCTGTGCAGATTACAGGCCTTTCGTTCTCATCAGTTGACCAATCTTTTATCTACGTCCAAGGTGTTGATTATGAGGTATACATCTGATTTGTATTCTGTGGACCTTGATCACATACAGCTTCAGCTATTAGCAGTCTGTTACTCTGTCATACTGTGTGAGATTGAAATTGGGATGCCTAATTGTATTGCAAAACCTCCATCGTGATAGTGTCATTTATGTTGAATTCTAATATAGGCTCTGTGACATACATACTGCAGATTACCTGTGGACATTGGAAACAAAGTGAGCGAGCATTCTCATTTCGAGGGGATTCCAACTGGTTGGGATTTTCAAAGGTATTCCCGTCTCCAGGCCCCATTTTTAAAGCCCAAACATAATATAAATACAGAATATAGGCTTGTCAGCAAATATGTGCATAAAAATGCACAACTACCTGAATACAAATGCAGTCAGATGATTCTTGCAGCAAGGGACATTATATGTTTTTGACAACCTTTGTTGTTTTCAAATCGCTGCAGTGTGCCAACAATGATGTGATAGCAGGGTGGTGCGAATCTGGAAGTATCTTCATTGCTGATGCTAGGCAGCTATAGGATCAATATCCCCTTCATCTGAGCTTATATTTGTATGTGTTGTGTTTTTTCATTTCTGTAAGAACGCAATGTTTACAGGACTTTAACTCTCCAGTACCCAGTAGCATGCGAACTCATGCTCATCGGCCATTATGGTTCTTGAAAAACGTGATTATTCCAGATTTCATCCAGCAAATTGAATTGAATTGAATTCAGTCATTAGAAGGGGTATTAGGTTGTACAGTATCAGTACCACCAATCATTGCTATCTTTTATTAAAGGAGTATCAGCAGTCATCAAATCACGTCAACTTCGCACTTTATATTGAGTATTTTGATAATTCATGCACCAACAAACTTCAAATTTCGGAAGAGAAGCGCCAAGTTTTATCAGAGAAAAAACAGAATTGAACTGTGATATGCTGCCCTACACAAAGTACACGCCCCTGGAAGCTCCGTAGCATTAGGATGTTTCAATTTACTTTTTTTTAACATGTTTCAATTTACTTAGTAAGCTTGCTTAATTTTATCTAAGATAAGAAAAAAAAAGATTTCAATTGTGATAAGGTGGCCTACAAACAGGTAGGTAGGCGACCCTGGACACTACGTAGCATTATGATGTTTCAGTTTGATTTCAAGGAAGCCTGCTTATTGAAGGAAGACTGTCCACTTCCTTGCTAAACCTACCTGCTAGGTTGACAAGAAAATCTAGAAAATAATCCAGGAAGAATGAAACACGACCAGACAGGAACAACCACCTTTCTTGGCCATGACTCGTGAGCACTCCTACATAATATGATTTCATTTAAGCTTTGTGTCGGCTAATTGCCCATGCTATTTCAGCTAAGGTACTACAACTAAGTTGGCGCATATAAATAGAAAAATGACATACAGGGGCAAATTCTATGTTATAACAGTAAGGAGACGGCGACTGAGCTTGGCTCAAATCTACCACTGCATTGAGTTCGTTCTTCTAAGATCTCGTGATGGTTTTTTCCTCAGAATGACGGGCGTCACTCGTTCCAAGAGCTGCATCAACAGAATGTGTTCTTTAGAGAAACATAAAAAATAGCTTCCCCAAGAAAAGCGAATGAACATTGCTCAAGTCAGTAAATCCAAAGCCAAACTGAAGAGCCATAAAAGAGTGCTTAGTTAGAAGGCAAGGTTGGATGGAATCATTCTATTTATGTTTCTGGGGATATGACCATCCAAGTTGTATGTTTAGTTGAGTTGGTATGGTAGTCAATTTTTTTTGTAGGAGTGAAGGTGAATAGAATGAGAATAGTTAACTAAATCATATGTCTTATAAATCTGATATGCAAATATTTAACCTTACACTTATAAATATTTTTAATGTTAACACTGTCACAATAATTACTAGTTAACAATAAACATATTAATTATCACTAATAATCCTCTGATCGACCCACTAGTTGTACACTAATCAGCACAACACTTGCCAATCATAATTTCATGATAATAAATACTAACTATTACAATCTATATACTAATCATTAATCATTTAACTAATTATAAGTGGATGGTAAAAAAAAGATGGGATCCCCTCCCGAAAAAATCCAAATGGAGGTGGATCGTTGTGATATGCTTCTTTCATAGTTCCATATTTGACCATGTTCCTAAACGGTGTGAGAAAACGTCATCGTCCCAACTCCTATTGATAGTGACAAAACTACACGATATTAAAATTGCATTAGGCTTTAACTTGACAAATGGGGCTGCAACAGAGTACTTTCACGATTGCAGGCTCAAGCCTTTTTTAAAACACAGGTGTATGCAGTTCACCATCTTGAGAAGCAAATGGCCCCAAGAGAAAGTAAAAGATGAAAAGGACAATCTCACACTTGTCATGTGTTGCTGCAATGCAATTGCAAGCTATCAATATCAAATGTTATCTATTTGCCAAACCACTTTGGCCGGCTACAAAGGAGCCTTAGGCACGTTAGCTCATTGGAGTGTCAAATAGGCAAAGGATACCAAACTTCCAGATTCGATAAATCATAGGAAGCTGCATATTTTAAGAATGAACAGTGTCTGTTAACCATAATTATGGTCCTTACGTATGTTCTTGTTGAAGACAAAGTCTTCTCATATTTAGGAACCTGAGTGCTAAACTAAGATGAAAGGCTGCTTTATGCTTTCTGTAGTGATGGTTCAGCCATTCCAGATGTATAATATTTGACTAAATACTCCCAAGTATTGTATCCTAGACTGGTTTCAAACGTTATCCAACCAAATTTCAATGATCTTTGAATTTAATGGGCCATATAAACTAACATAATATATATATGCACTTCAAACCCATTTTATTGCAATATAGTCAAATTAACACGAACCAAAGAAAGTTACCTCTTTAAGTCGCTTCTGGTGCCGCTCTTCCTGAAATACATGAACATCAAAAGCTTATGATAAGGGAATGATAACATCATTTAGAAGGTAAGATGTTTGCATATAGATATAGATGAACATTCATGAAGCACTGGTCTCTGAAAAGAATGGTTTCACACACATTCAGATCATGCATAGCAGAGAAATGAACTGAATTGGGGAAAATAACATAAGGTGAGCACAACGGGTTTTTTTCCTCAAAAAATTCAACCCAGTTACATCACAGATAGAACTATGTAACGGCCCCCCCTATGTAACTATTACTATACATTTATACTACATGCATTGGGACTTACCAAGTAGGTTTACATGATTTTTGTAAGATTTTGTATTGCGAGCTTGTTTTGGTGCTGTGCTATCCACTAGTCTAGAAGTCCTAAAAGGTTACTGAAAATAAGTGTCACCACGATACATTTTGGCTGCAGAACCCAACGCCAAGTGCTGTAAGAATGACATTTTGTGTTTGAACTCACCTAGTCATGAATAAATTTTTTTAAAAAAAATCCTAGAAATACAGTTTCCCATACAAACCCCATGAATGTGTCAGAGTCGAGTGTTACCTGTTCTCTCAACAACTCGGCATTCTCCTCCTCGAGCTGCGTTACCAGCGATTCTAGCTCGGCGATATAGGCCTTCAGCAACCGAGCAAAAGACAATCAAATTCTCCACTTACATTCGCAGAATTCGAAGCTTAATCACGTTAAACTGCAACATCTGTACAAGGTGCACCCACCTGCTTCCTCTCCCGTGACCGGGCAGCAGACTCGCGGTTTTTGATCATTCGTTTCTGTCGCTGCATCGCAGCGCGATCCACTGGATCCATGAGCTGCCGCTTCCTTCCCCTCCCGCCTCCGCCGCCGGCCACACCCACGCCCTCAGTTCCGGCCAGGAACCCCATGACCGGCGCAGAGGGGCCCGAAATCCTAACCTCATCCTCCTTCACCGCGCCCTCCCTGGCCAGGAAGTCCTCCAGCGTCATCTCCGGGCCGCCTGTGCCGGCGCCGGCGCCTCCGGCGCCACCAGCGGGGACGACAGCCTGAGCTGCCACGGGAGCCACGGCTTCCCCGCTGCCACCTCCGCCAGTGATCTCCTTCCACACCTCCTCCGCCGTCTTCCGCGTGGCGATCTCAGGCGCCGGGGCCGGCGACATCGGGCGTTCGGGCTCCGACGCGGGCGGCGCCGGGGTGGGCATGTCGCCGTAGATGCCGCGGAGCAGCTCCTCCACGTTCATGGAGCCCAGCCCGCTGCCCCCGCCGCCGCCGCCGGGCCTGCTGGCGGCCTGCGCTAGGCGCGCGAGATCCGAGGCCGTGTGCGACGGCGAGGACGACGGCATCACCCTCGACGACGCCATGCGCTTGGCGCCCCCGCGCCCAGGGCCTCCCCGTCCCCGCCCTCGCCGCGCCCTTGTCGTTTCCGTCGGATTATTTTCTTCTCTCTCGCAGCTTCTGCTCTCGGAGGCTCGGTGAGACGAGGGGAAGGAAGGAAGGAGAAGGAGCTGTGGTTGGTTCAGTTGGTTGGCCGGCTGGAACTCGGAATGCGAGCTAGGAGGACGGGACGGGAGGCGCTCGGAACGTGGGGAAGCGCTGGTGTCGTGCCGTGTGCTCTCTCTACTTTGGCCCAATGGCCCCGAGAAGGATCAGAGGTTTGGTGGCGTTTACGGAAGTCCGGTCGGTGAGTGACACATGATTTGTGCGTGCGCGCCGGGACGGGGGAGTTTATAGCCGCGGTCACTCGCCACTCGCGCTACAGAGGGCAGCTGGGCGGGCATGCACCGTGGTCCGTGGACATGGCTTGGTTGAGTCTCCAGTGCTTCACCGTCTTCCCGGCGTCCGACTCGACCGGCAGAGCGGGCCGGCAGTCCGGCCGGCCCGCCGGATTGTTTATTGCGGATAGGTTCCGTGTCAGAGTAATAGCAAGGAGATAAGACGAGGGATTCGGATTCCTCTCGCTGAGCCGTGTCTGTGAGTTCGAGGCCTCATATTTCAGCACAGCGAAGCACGGTGGTCCGGTGCTAGTGCGCCGTGGTCGTGGCTTGCTGCCACAGGAGATCCCGCGTCCCCGCTCCGTAGCGGACGAATTAATGGAGGTGAGTTGTCATGTCATGCCGAGTCCACACCTGGACGGCCGCTAGAAGCATCTCCACGCGGCGCGCGCCTTTAAGCTTTTACCTGTGGGCGCCAGCGTCCGGACGATGGCCCGTTCGCTTGTATGAGCCGTATTTTTTTATTTTATAATAAATCAATGAACAATATTTTCGTGACACGAAGCGAACAGTGCCGATGACTGGCGGCTAGACACAGGCGGCCTTTTTCGTCGCTCGTCTGCTGGCAGCGGCAGTTGCTATCCGGTAGTATCCACCTCGAACGAGATGCGTCGAGGAAAACACCGGCGACAGCAACTCCTCTTGGCAAGTTGCAATGACCATCTTCCCTGGTATTCCTTTTTCATAAAATATAAAGAGTAACAAAAGAGTAAAAACCAGATGTAAATACTTGGAACCCATATCCCTAAAAATACATTCTTGTAGCCCCGAGCTACGACGACACAATCTAAAAAACCTGATCATTCTTCCGAGAGAACAGATTCTGTTAAATTGAGAGTATAATTATATTTTTGTTTACGTTTAAGGTCATATTCGCTTATCTTATAATCCGTTTTTTTTTCAAGTTTGTTTTTTCAACTAGAACAATGTTTTTTTCACAACAAATCAACCGGAATAGTGATTTCGACTTGTTTTTTCAGCGAAACGAACGGGGCCTAAGTCTCTAGATAATTATATTTCTATTTATGTTTATATTTGTGTAAGAAATACGATCTGTCAATGGATCAACGAAGATGACATCCTCTAGTAGCTCACCGGAAAAAACCTAACTATGACTAGACTGGACGATGGAAGGTCCCTGCTCCTCCATGCTACTGTTGAGGCTTGTGTGCAGCCGAGGCAACCCAGAAACCTAGACCCTATGGCTGGAACATAAATGATAACTAGGACAGGTTATAGTTATCGAAGTCATGAGATGAAGCCACATGACACGACGAGAGGATGAGTTAGTTCGTGTCAATGTCAAACATATCTCAAGAGTTTGGCACAATGGTTCGAACATCCTCGCCAGGCTCTATGGATTTTCACGCACGTGCAGTCAGGGACAGATCTAGATTCAGGGACTATTGATGTCACTAACATAGTTATGTACACATGATGTGTCATTGTCTCTTGTGTCATTAGTAATTTTCCATTAACTTTGCACAAGTCTTTGATGTCAGATGACATCATGGCTAATATCGTGGCTCTGCCTCTGCGTACAATCTAGGATATCGGGTGGAGAGGCGACAAATAGGAAGAATGCATCTAGGATCATGGTCGGAGTCGAGGGGGGTTGCTTGCTATGATAACAATTGAATGTGGTATAGGAGGGGACGAAGAGGGGAGTGGAAGGTACTTGGCATGTTTGGCTTTAGGCTATGGCGGCTACATGACGGAAATGGCCATAGGAGGAAGAAGAAGAAGGGAGGAGGAGGAGTTGATCTCAACCATGCAAATTGTTTCAACGACCGTGGGTAAGAAAGTATTTTGGACGTACATGGTAGTTTTGATTTGAATAACATGCCAAAATTGTAAGCACGCCCTTTAGGTTTTGCTGCCGCCAGCTTACTCAATAGTCGAGAATGATTTAGTGCTCCTCTAATCAATAAATTAGTGAATCTTCAACGATGCCCAGAAAAGAGGCTAAAAATCTGGTTTTGGCCTTGCCCGAAAACAAAGAGTCCAATAGTGCCCTAAATGCATGGCCCAAAACCCCCTCACACATCACCTCATATTTAAGCTCATTCAACGCACACCCAGTCATAAAGTTCACGTGAGGAAATTGGCTAAGTGTGTCCTCTCTCACCCCATTTCTTCCTCTTGTGATCTCTTCCTCAGCAGCCAAGAAATCAGCGTCTGTTTCCCACCGATGACCTTGTGTCGACAAAAGATGCTCGTCGGTCTGCGGAGGAGTCAACCACCGCTGCCGATGGAGGTGGCGGTGGAGAGCGGTTGGCGACGACGGCGGCCGATGCGATGGAGACACCAGGAATGACGGCGAGAGCCGTCGAGTCTTCGGAGGCGAGGCGGGAGCTGCCGACGTCATGCCGGAGTCTAGGGCGCAGAGACCGGCAGCGTCGGAGGAACAAGCGGCGCGCCCGGAGATGCCGCGGGGGGTGGTCGGTCGCTTCATGCAGCCACTGAGCCCCCAGAGAGCACCACCGAGCCCCTAGGGAGCGCCACTAGCTGTGGAGGAAGATGATGAGGTCGAGGAGATTGAGCGTGAAGAATCATGACCTCAGGCCGTCCGCATCCTCCGCAAGCGGGGGGACGAAGTTGTGGTCGTGGAGGAGGAGGACACCTCCAGGGATGTGAAGAGGCTGCGGTCCACCATTTCCACAGCCATGAAGCAAATCGAGGTTAGTATTGCATCGGCGATGTCCGTCTCTGGCGTTGGAGAATAAGGTCATTTACAATCTTGGTGCTTTGCAGGGCATAGCACGAACTGCCGCACACCGGTAGCAGCTGATCAAGAGGATGGAGCCCATCGCCGAGGAGAACACAAAGCTGAAAGAGGTAGTGAAGCTGATGGAGAAGAACGTCTAGAGGGCCCAGCGTGAACGGGATCTTGCTGAATCAAACACGAGGGACCTAGAGTACCAAAAGGGCGCCTTATCCGAGCAGCTGAAGACCATCTTCGAGCAGCTGGAGCGCACCTCCGAGTAGCTGAGAAGCGTCTCTGACCAGAAGAAATGTACGGTGGATCTGTGCATCTTTTCTGCATTGTCGAACAATTTTGGTGTTGCTGACGACCGTCACGTTTGTAGAGCAAGACGCGGAGCTCGGCCAGTTGCGCCAAGTCATCGGTCAACTCCAAGAAGAGAAGGAGAAGGCGTCTAGGCGAGCGAAGAAACTGGCCAAGGATATGGAAGGTGAGTAGTTCATGTTCGGAGTTGTTGCTGATATGATTGCTTCGTTTGACGAATCCCTTTGGTGTCTGCAGAATACCATCGAAGGACCAGGGAGTAGTTCAACATGCTGGAGCTGGAGGCACAAACCTAGAGGGGAAAACTCAATGCCGTGGTGGCCGGAGTCACGCCGGTGCTCGACTGTATCGACATGGAGGTAGCTTGTAGGGTTCATAAACCTAGGGTCCCTAATGGGCCTGCTTCCCAGCAAAAAGCTTGGCCCAGTAGATGATGTTGCGGATGACGCGCAACTCCTAGGCCGGCCCAGATACCTAGCGATAGGCCAGAAGAGTGATCCAGTCTCGACCAGAAGGCCTCCGACTCTGACCCGCCTCTACGACCAAAGGGCCTGGCCAAGGAGGGGAGACGCTCGCTTCGAATCTGACCCGCCTCTCCGACCAGAAGGCCTGGCCAAGGAGGGGCGGCGCTTGCTTCCGACTCGACCCGCGTCTTCGATCGAGAACACGCCAAACCTCTGCCTGCGGCTTTTCTCCAACCGACACGGTCGGAGCTGACTAGGAATGACCAAACGGGGCGCCCGCTCGGTGAGGACCTAAGAAATCAGGCGGAGCAGATAAGGTAAGGCGCATAAGTCAACCGCAATACCAAGGACCGTACCCTGGACACCTGCAGGATAGTACTATCAGGCCATGTTAGAAGGGTACTTTACAACCTTCTAGACATGTCAGAACACGAATAGTGTTGTGGGTGCTGACATTTGTCCTATAGTATGGTAGGCGCCTACATTTGCCATACTAGAAGAACACGATGGAACCAACCACATGCATCAGGGCATCAACAGTATTGTAGGCGTCGACAAACCGTCTCGTACCCAACGGCGTGGGCAACAAGACTAGGTAGCACACACACACACTCTCTCTCTCACTTATAAGGCCGTCCCCTTCATCTATAAAAGGGGATGCGCCCTCTCCCAAAAAGAGGATCGATTCGACGAACAATAGACAATACATGGATCATTCCGACTCACTCTCTGCTAGCTTTAGACATTCTAAAGCTATATAGAGCGCACGTTCGAATACCTAGCGCATGTAGGAGCTCCCGTCACTCTCGGCCCTTCAGTCCAGAGTCCGACCGGACCTCTTACACCCCCCATCTTACTCCCACTCGTTTGTAACCCCACGATAAACTTCCGAGCACCTAGACTCAGGAATAAAGTCACCGACTGACTCAAACTGGACATAGGGCACATTGCCTGAACCTAGTATAAACCCTATGTCATTGAGTGTTAGGCCACATCCGATCACAACGTATGGCAAAACGACAAATATTTACTAGTTGGTCACTTTTTGCACCGACAGTTGGCGCCGTCCATGGGGAGGACGTCGTACGTTCACGCTT